CACGGACCCAGCCTAGAACAGAAGGTCTCCCACATGAGATCACTCAACTGCCCTCGACGTACAACCTGGTGACAAAATCCAGCAGTCTTGGTGAGAAGGAAGCGGATGGATGGCAATCCGCTGTGCACCGGAGTCTCGGGCGCTATGGTCTTGAGCTGCTCTAACGATTACCGAAGGGCAGACTTCTGCACAGAGGTTTCCTACTGTTCTATGAACACAAGCTTAAGAAGTCCAACCTTCTGTGGGGAATAGGCCTTAAATGCGTGTAATAGGATGTTCTGAGGATTAACAAACGACCACAGTTTTAGAATACATGTGCAAGAATACTAAATCCTGCATACAACTGACGCTGGGAGGAATAATAGAACAGCATATATATATGAAACAAAACTGTTTACAACTCACACACATCTATACCAACTCATTCCAGTGAGTGAGGTGGAGGGTGCGGGGGGAGGGCAAAACAGAGCTCGGATAAGGGGAAATTAAAATGGGTTTCTGCCCCACCAGCTGGTTCCACTTTTCATTCTGTATGAGGCCACTCCTCTTTAGGCAACAGGAATCTTTAAAATACACAAGCCAGATGCCATAGTTTTAGGTGGCTCAGTGGTAAAAAATCCGCCTGCCAACGCAGGAGACACAAGAGACGGGTTCGATCCCTGGGTCAGGAAGATCCCCTGGAGAAGGAAATGGCAACCCACTCCAGTATCCTTGCCTGGAGAATCCACGGATAGAGGAGCCTGGCGGGTTACAGTCTGTGGGGTTGCAAAGAGCCAAACACAACTGACCGCAGCACAGCACAAAAATGGTGACATACACCACCAAAACCTTAGAGGCCCGCTCGCTCTTTTTCATAAACGCCAGAACAAACAAAAAAACGGATCCTCCCCTGTCCCTAGGCAAAGATACCCATTCTGTGACACAAGCCCTACTTGCGCTCACCCCACGTCCATCACACACCACTGCCACTCATGGCAAAACCAGCCACAAACACGGACGCTGGGTGTAAGGTGGGGGGATTCAAAGCTGTTCAAAGAACGACTGAAATCCGCACTTTCCAAGACCCAACCCCAGGAAGCTAAAAACCATGGCTGGTCCACCATGAAGACCTTCCTCCTCCCAAGATGGTTCGGGTAACCCTCCAGGCGGCACTTTCACCACCCACACCAATATCTCCTTTCTCCCTTTAAGCCCTGCGTGGTCTTCGAAGGGTAGAATTTGCTTCTGTTGTTAAGTGGTCTTTGTTTTAGGTTATCACGAATGTCTAGGCTGGAAACTCCCACCACCGCCACCACCACCTTCCCTTACCTGCCCAGAGGCTGAACTAAAATGCCGCGAAAGGTGTGCTCAGCAAGGCCTTCTGCCACTCACACCTCGTTCTTTTACAGAAAGTGAAACTTCTCTTAAAAAAAAAAAAATCAGGGCACCAGAACAATCATACCTGTCAAGAGTGAACTTGACTTCCTGCAATCCTGTTTCTTCCTGTATTCAGGCCCTAATCTGGACAGATGACCAGGGGCTTTCAAAAAATTTAATGCCAACCACATGCAGAAATCACCATCTTAGCAGTAACACTAGGGCCACCTACACCTCCTCTCCCAGACATGGCCAGGGCAAATACAGGGCACAGAATGCCCTGGGCAGCCAGCAGCGGGCGCAGAATGCTCCCAAGAGACACGGGTAACTGGGAAGAGACACGGGTAACTGGGTACTGAGTCAGAGTCGCCCACCCAGCTCAAGTATGAGCAGGGAGTGTATTACTTCTCAAAGCGAAGGGGAAGTCGCTCAGTCGTGTCTGACTCTTTGTGACCCCATGGACTGAATTCTCCAGGCCAGGACACTGGAGTGGGCAGCCTTTCCCTTCTCCAGGGGATCTTCCCAACCCAGGGATCGAACCCAGGTCTCCCAAATCGCAGGCGGATTCTTTACCACCAAGCCACCAGGGAAGCCCCTGGTGCATTGTTTTAACAACATGCTTAAGGCTCTTGGCTCCCAGACTGGGGCTCAGGGAAGGCGAGTGCCTTTAGTGGAGCTACGTGAGTCTTCTTGAGTTCTTTAGCTACAGAACTTTCCAGCTGTTTCTTTTTTTCTCTTGAAGATTAAAGTGGATGGCTGTTAATTATTTCTAAGTACTGAGAATATTCCCCAGTTGGCTGACACCTACTTTTACCAACTAACAATAATCATTAAGAGCCAATGATCAACAAATTAAAATACGTGTCATCTAATTATTGTATAAAATAGACGGTTTCCCTGGTGGCTCAGACAGTAAAGCAGCTGCCTGCAATGCAGGAGACCTGGGTTCGATCTCTGGGTCAGGAAGATCCCCTGGAGAAGGAAATGGCAACGCACTCAAGGATTCTTGCCTGGAAAATTCCATGGACAGAGGAGCCTGGTAGGCTACAGCCCACGGGATCGCAAAGAGTCAGACATGACTGAGCAACTTCACAAAAAAAAAAAAAACCCACAAAAACCAATTTTACTTTAAAAATAATTTTCATATAAATAAAAATATTTTAAGGATAAAAATCACAATAGAGATGGAAGTTGCAGTAGTGCGGATGTTATTTCCTTTGCAGACTCTGTATGATTCAAATACTTAATGGCAATTTCTAGAATAGTAACAAAATAGATGGGAAATCCAAGCCTGTGCAAGCTCACACTTTGAGTTGAACATGCTTCACCAGTGGAATCACTGTGCAGCTGTCACAGTGAGGACACAATGTGGGCTTCTACCAGATGATTTCTGGAAAGATCCCTCATCCTGCTCCCCTTGCCTGGGGTCCACCGTGAGGGTGAGAGGCGTGCCCCAGCACACAGGGGGCCTGCCCACTTCCTGGGACGTCCTGGAAGCCTGGTGGGGAAGCTTCGTCACTCATCATCCCTGATGTTAATTAATTAGTTTATTACATATGAGATGATTCATTTATTCATGGAGAGTTAACATTTGCAAACCTCAATGTACAACTAAAGTCGTCACGTGGAGAAGACACTCATCCATACAACTAAATTACGATCCTCTCTGTCGGAACTGTAGTGTTAGAGAGTCCTGTGGACTGCAAGGAGATCCAACCAGTCCATCCCAAAGGAAATCAGTCCAGAATGTTCATTGGAAGGACTGATGCTGAAGATGAAACTCCAATACTCTGGCCACCTGATGCAAAGAGTTGACTCATTGGAAAAGACCCTGATGCTGGGAAAGATTGAAGGGAGGAGAAGGGGACGACAGAGGATGAGATGGTTGGATGGCATCACCGACTCAATGGACATGATTTTGAGTAAACTCCAGGAGTTGGTGATGGACAGGGAGGCCTGGTGTGCTGCAGTCCATGGGGTCACAAAGAGTCGGACATGACTGAGTGACTGAATTGAACCGATGCTGGGGATGGGCAGAAATTCTACGAAAGACCACGGAGCAAGACTCCGGGACACGGGCAGTGAGGGAGCCTCTCATGAGAACTCACCCAGCTGGCCTGCTCGGCCCCCAACACATATCAGCACCAGAGCTGGGGATGTGAAGCTCCTTCTAACCCAAATTCACCCAGAAGAGGTGGTGGCCGAGGATTCGCTTCCCGCCCCACCCATCAGAAATAGGACCCTTTGCCAGGAGCATCCTTATCCCAGGCCTGGGATGCTAACCCACCCCAGACCCTCTAGCCCTGACCTGGGGGGTTCAGGGAGATTGCCCCCTCCCTGGTGCCTCCCCACCCCCCGCTCCTCTCCACCTGCACTACCCTCCTCGCCCCCAGCCTCTCATCTGCCATCAGGAGCCTGTCCATGACTATTTATCCCTCGGGCAACCTTCGGCTTCTTCAGGAGAATTTCTCACCTGAGGCACGGCCGTCCTGGAGGTGAGAGATCAAGACTGAGGCAACAACAAGAAGTAACTTCCAAACGCTGGCGCTGGCTCCCGCCACCAGGCCAAAGGTGCTGTTACTTTTGGACAGACCCGACTCTGTTCTTTCCGTTTCCTGTCTTCCTAACATGAAACCCTTCAGTTCAGTTCAGTCACTCAGTCGTGTCCAACTACTTGCAACCCCATGAACTGCAGCACACCAGGCCTCCCTGTCCATCACCAACTCCCAGAGTTTACTCAAAGCCATGTCATTGAGACGGTGATGCCATCCAACCATCTCATCTCATCCTGTCATCCCCTTCTCCTCCTGCCCTCAATCTTTCCCAGCATCAGGGTCTTTTCCAATGAGTCAGTTCTTTGCACCAGGTCGCCAAAGTATCAGTTTCAGCTTCAGCATCAGTCCTTCCAATGAACACCCAGGACTGATCTCCTTTAGGATGGACTGGTTGGATCTCCTTGCAGTCCAAGGGACTCTCAAGAGTCTTCTCCAACACCACAGTTCAAAAGCATCAATTCTTCAGTGCTCAGCTTTCTTTATAGTCCAACTCTCACATCCATACATGACCACTGGAAAAACCATAGCCTTGACTAGACGGACAAAGTGATGTCTCTGCTTTTTAATATGCTGTCTAGGTTGGTCATAACTTTCCTGCCAAGGAGTAAGCGTCTTTTAATTTCATGGCTGCAGTGATTCTAGAGCCCCCAAAATGAAGTCTGCCACTGTTTCCCCATCTATTTGCCATGAATTGATGGGACCAGATGCCATGATGGCAGTTTTCTGAATGTTGAGCTTTAAGCAAACTTTTTCCCTCTCCTCTTTCACTTTTATCAAGAGGCTCTTTAGTTCTTCACTTGTTGCCATTTAAACCTTTTTTTTAAAAGGGGGACGAATGAAGAGTGAGCGTCTACAGTGAAGCAGAAACGATGCGTGTGTCCTGCACGCTCTGTGCGTAAAGAACGTCCCACGATAATGGTCCACCTGCGCACAAAGAGGTCGCCGACGGCACACGCGAACTGGCTGCCGGCCTGTCTCAGGGCGGATGCTCGCTGGCCGCGAGCGCGGCCTGCGCTGAGGGGCCCCTCCGGCAGGCAGGCCCCCCGCCCCCGCCCCCGCGCATCCCCCGCACGCGCGGCGCGTACGTACCGTCCTGGAAGACGCGCTCCACGTTGAGCCCGTAGGTGGCGCACGTCTCGTAGTACGTGCACCTCTTGAGGTCGCTGGAGAGCTTCCGCGCCCGGGCGTCGTCGATGACCCGCGGGTTGGTGGAGCTGATGGCGTCTGCAACAGACGGGCAAGAAGAGGCGACACGGTGACCGCGAGCGGCCTGAGGACGCCCCGCTCCCCGCGGCCCCGAGGAGCGCGAAGCCCGCCCCTCGCCCAGCAGGGAGGGGACTCTTCTCAGGACCTGGAGTGATCAAAGCATCGTTTATGCCCACTCAGCCCAGGCGTCAGATGGCCAGCTGTCCCAGGGGGCCCCGCTCCTGGATGTGAGACCACAGCATGTCCGCGAAGACCGGGAGGGGGGGGGAAATGCAACAATGTTAGTCGCTCAGCCGTGTCCGACTCTTCGCGACCCCATGGACTGCAGCCCGCCAGGCTCCTCTGTCCGTGGGATTCTCCAGGCCAGCATACTGGAGTGCGTTGCCATAGCCTTCTCCAGGGGCTCTTCCAAACCCAGGGATCGAACCTGGGTCTCCCGCATTGCAGGCGGATTCTTTACCATCTGAGCCACCAGGGGAGGGAAGGGTAAGAGTTAAATAAACGTGGTTCCTGAAGAAAACACGGTCACTACGTGCGGTGGCCATCTATGCACAGGCGCCCATGAAACACACCCCGCCCACCAGCACCAGCCCCTCCAGGCGCCTCTGCCCGCTGGACACACGCTCGCGGAGCCCCCGCAGGTGCCTGTCCCGTTCCGGCACAGGGAAACCACAGCGAACCAGAGGGACAGAAGCCTGTGCTCTCACGGAGGGGGCGTCAGGTCAGCCGGGAGGGGGCGAAAGTGAGACAGAGCCGAGGAAGGACCAGGGGTGCAGGTGGGGCTCAGGGCAGGAGACGGGTTGGGAGGGCAGGGGTCGCGAGGGCAGGGGTAGGGAAGCGCGCCCGCAGGAGATGGCGTGGAGTGACAGGGGTCTGGGGGTGGGGGGGGCGCCAGCGTCTGGGTTTAAGGGCGATCCAAGGCTGAGAGCAGGAGTGGGAGGTGACCTGGGGCGCTGGAGGGGGCCACAGACGAGTGTGAGCGCCACATCGGGTCTGAACAGATGGCTTGGGTGGGTGGGTGGGCGAGCAGCAGACCCCCCAACCTCCTGCAGGATCTGTGTACAGATGGGGAGATATGGGCAGCAAAACAGACATCGGGCACCAGCCACCGGTCTCCCGATAAAATGAATCCTGCATCCCTGCTATTTTTTCTTTAGCTTGGCCTGCGCGAGCCCTGTTTCCATTCATTCCATGACTCCCGAGTTACAGGAAGGGGGATGCGGTCAGGAGGCAGCCACGCGCCCTGCACACAGGACCAGAGGAGCGGCCGAGATGCTCCATCCACGGTGCTACCCTGAGACGAAACACGCTTTTCAGGGACTCTTCCGGACGTGGCAGTTTTCCCTCAGGGGTTGAAGGCTCCTGAGTTACAGGAAACACCCAAGAGCTCTTTAAAGAACAGCCCCCCAACGGGAGTCTTCTCCCCTGGTCCAGGAAACAGCAGCAGACAAGACACAACAACCTCTTAGACGTTTGCTGCTGCAGAGGAAATGTACAGGCGCTCAGCGTTCTCAGTGTTAAACCAGAGCTGCATCTCCAGGGACTGATACATTGATTTTGTTTTCACTTTCTCTTTCTCCTTATTTCCTGTTTGCTTCTCCTAGCCCCATGGAACAGGTTTAACTGACAGTTCTGAATGACCCCCAGGAAAACTAACTATGACTCAGATCCCTGGCAGGGCCTGTCAGAGGGATTAATTCAAACAGTATCTCATCCTGTCTCACCCTCAGATTAATAAACCTGACTTGGATTTCATAACACCTAAGGAAAAGAAGTATTTTTTTTTAAGGTGTAAACATCTTTTAAGAAAATGGTAGAAAAACAGTTAGAAACCCAGGATTTTCAAACACTGTGGTGTATGTAAACTAGAAAGTAAATGCTTAGAGCATTAATCCAGCTTAGAACTTATCCTGACTGGGGTTCCCCACAACCCCCCAGGTCTCTTTCCCTGGTGGGTGCCCACCCCATTTCTGTCCCACCCCGGCTTCCATGACACCGCATCACATATCAGAAACAGACCCTACACTGGAGTACTCTTTTTGTCTCACGTTTCACTCCTGCGACTCTACACCTTTTATCTTTTTTTACACAGCTCAGGTTTCACCCCTCAAATCAATGCGATCCGCTCATCTCTAAAACAGGCCATGTTTAACAAACACCCTCGCCTCGGCCCTGATGAAGATCCTCCAGCTCCCCGACGGGACCCGGGAGAGAGCACGTCCACCCACCGCTGGGTGAGGCCCCGCACCCCACGTGTCCTGGAACAAAGAACTTGATTCTCCTTCATCTGCTCCACCCCAGAACCTCCGACGGGGCCACAGGCCCCCAGCACCGCGGGCGGGGGGTGAGGGGGATCTGAGCTGCCCTCACCGCTGTCTCTGGTGCCCCATGCAGTCTGCACAGCAGCAGGATCTGTGTGCAGAGTTCACAGAACGCGAATCCATAAGGAGCTGATGGTCCCCGAGGGTCGAACCTTCCAGAAGCCCACACTCACTCCACCTTCCCGCCACGGGGGCTTCTAGGGTGCTCTGGGAATCAGAAGTCTGGGTAATGACCCCTCAGGTGAAGACTGTCCCTCCTGAAAACACTCAGGTCCTGCTCCTTTGGGGCGTGGCTTTGCTGAAGTCGGAACAGGTTTGAGACAAGCTCTCCAACCACAGAGGCTTATAAAACTGAGGGAATGAAAGGGGGCTGGTTCCTGCCCTCAGGGCCCCTGGCAGGACTTCCCCAGCCTATGGAGCCGTCTCCAGGGCACCCCGAGACATGGATCATCCTGGCGGGAGACGAGCACGGACTCCCCTTCAGCTGGGGCGGGACACACAGAGGCGACTTGCACCTCCAAGGTCAGCGGCCGGCAAACACAGGCACCGAGCACCCCAGCAGGACCTCAGGGGGTGGGCCACGCGTGGGACAGAAGGGAGGGAACCAGCCAGAGGCTGGACACTGCTGTGCCCACGGATGCCCCCAGGGCCCCAGGAGACTTCCTCCCTCCAAGGCCTGGCAGCGCCAAGGTCGATGGTGGCCCAGGGGCAGTGAGGCCAGGTCTGCGTGGCCTCCAGACTCACCACTCTCTACACCCAAACACACGGCTACAGAAGAGAGCAAACTGGTCAAGGCGGCTTTCTGGCTTGGACTGAATGCCTATCTTTCCTTTACTCCAGGGACCCTACCGCACAAAGGCATTCTGCGTCCTGAGCGCAGACCCCCGAACCCAGGGAGCCAGTAAGGAGACGCCCACACAGACTGCGCTTTGGCTCAGAAATGCCCTGGGCAGGCCTGCAGGGAGAGGTGGCTTGCTGAAAATTAACTGCCTCCATCTCCAGGCAGCTTGGAAAAGCAAGATCTGATTTTAGACGAGCGCCCACTATAAAACGTTTCATGTCAAGAAGTTTTAGTCCCTTCACTGTACACCCAAAAGTATCACAACACTGTCTCTTAATCAGCTATAACCCAACACAAAATAAAAAGTTAAAAAAATTTTTTTCTTTAGGAAGTCAAACACCCAATTCTGCACACATCCGACCAAACGCAAACCAAGGGCTCGTGCGGGTGCGCCTTGTCTCGCAGTGACCACTAGAGGGCGCGCTAGGCATTAAAAATCTCTCACGTCAGCTGAGTGCAGAATTGATGCTTTTGAGCTGTGGTGTTGAAGACTCTTTGAGACTCCCTTGGACTGCAAGGAGATCAAACCGGTCCGTCCTAAAGGAGATGAGTCCTGAGTGTTCATTGGAAGGTCTGATGTTGAAGCTGAAACTCCAATACTTTGGCCACCTGATGCAAAGAACTGACTCATTGGAAGAGACCCGGATGCTGGGAAAGATTGAAGGTGGGAGGATAAGGGGACGACAGAGGATGAGATGATTGGATGGCATTACCGACTCAATGGACATGAGTTTGAGTAGATTCTGGGAGTTGGTGATGGACAGGGAGGCCTGACGTGCTGCCATCCGTGGATTCACAAAGAGTCGGACACGACTGAGCGACTGAATGGACTGAACTGAACTGATGTCCCAAGTTGGTCTAAACCCACCTCTGCTCTGAAGGCTTCAGTTGTGAGACCACTGGTCATGACACATATGCTTCGGGGCAGGGGGGGCAGGGTTGGAGTGAGGTCCTCTCCATGAAACCCCAACTCACATTTTACATCCAGCACCCTGAGAAGATGCCTTTAGTTTATTGCACACTTTTTTTCCTCCCAGCACACTTCCCCACTCCATGATCCTGGATTATCCTGCCAAGGCATGGATTACCCTGCTCTAAATTCCATCAGGCCTGGTGCCCTGCATATAGCTAACTGGTCCTGCTGCTCAGACGCAGAGAGTTTCTTATCTGGAGAAATCTCACATCAGGGCATGCAAGGGCAGACCGGATGTGCTCATTCCAAAGGAATTAACAAAAACAGAACCTGCACCAAGGAATGAAAGGCTAAACCCAGGGCTTCTTGGACGTGACTAAGTTCCTCATTCTTCTGACAAAGCGGTTTTACAGTTAACCTTCATCTGGCTTCCGTGGTGGCTCAGCTGGTAAAGACTCCGCCTGCAGTGCGAGAAACCTGGGTTCGATCCCTGGGTTGGGAAGATCCCCTGGAGAAGGGAATGGTTACCCACCCCAGTATTTCAGCCTGGATAACTCCATGGACTGTACAGTTCATGGGGTCGCAAAGAGGCAGACACGACTGAGGGACTTTCACTTTCATCTGACTTTCTAAAACAATCCCTGTGACCCCTTAGTTAAGTGCCCAGCAGATACCAGCAAGTCAGTGAATTTATGATCAAGAGTGTCCTAGGTGATGTCACTTTACTAAGAGATCAAGTTTTTACGTGGCCTAGAAAAAAAAAAAAGTACCCATGCAGTAAGATTCTATGCTCCCTGAGGGATCTGCTAAAAATGAGATTTGGATCATAAGACATTAAGAAATACAGCAGAATAAACGAAACTCAGCAATGTATCAAAAAAAATCAGTATTAAAGGTGCAAACATAAACAGAAGTAACTTTTTAGGTTGCTTACAAATTACATTACTTTATGACAGAGAGAATTAAGATGTCCTAATATAGAAATTAGACTTCCTTTCTTTCTGAAGCCCTTGGGGGTGTAGCAGTGTGTTTTGTTTTGAAGTTGCCAAGTGATTTCTCCACTGAACCAAATGAGGAGACTGGCTGATTTCCGTTTCAGGGATTCTCCCTGTAAAAAGTAAGACTTGAGCAGGAAATTATTTCTTCTTTAAACCGTCTGCAAACCACCCCCGTCTCTGAAAATACAGGCCAGGAAGCCACTGATGGCTCAGCGGCCAGAACCCCATGAGCCCAGCTGCCTGGATGCCACTCACCCTGGGTCCCCACCAGGACCAGCGGGATCTCGCTTGTGTTGCGGTAGTTGGCCATGCGGCTATAGTAGTGGTAGACGGTCTGGAAGCTGATCTCGTCCTCCAAGCTGAAGACAAATATGACGGCGTCCACCCACATGGCGAACTGGGGAGAAAGAGGGCAGGTGAGCAGGGGGCGAGGAGCGAGGGGACAGAGGGAAGGAGCAGCATCGGGTCACTTTCGTGAGCACAGGGCGGGGCGGGGGCGGCCACACGTGGCGTCCGGCTCCTACTGAAACCCGCTTCTGAAGCGTCGCTAACGCCCTTCTCATCCTTAGCACAACACACCTGGGCTAGGGCCCGCACCCGCTTCCCACCCAGGCCACTGTGTCTCCAAAGTCAAGCCAGACCTTCTTCCCCACAGGAACGTCCACCCCCGTCCAGACTCAGCTGATGGAAAGCAAACCCAGCACGCACAGAGACGACCTGGGGACCGATACACGGGGCGACACTGCAGCTTCCTGTTGCACCCTAAACTCCCCCCAGAGGCCCCCCAGGAAGCCACGCTGGGACTCCTGAGACGGGGCTCCTCCTCTGGGCACCCACAGCTCAGAAGTCCTCCACCCCCAGGACCAACGACTCTGTCAACAGAAGAGGTCTTCATATTGTCAAGATCTGCCGTGGATGAATTACAGCACCCTTCGAGGGAATTAGGACCCACTGCCAGACACATTAACCAAACCAGTGAACAAAATGAGCAAAAAGGACGGGGAGAAAAAGAAAACCCCACAGTGGCCCGGCTCTCTATCATTTTATTCTTGTTTTACCTGCATCCAGCTGAACTCATATCAGACTCTCTTTCTGGTAAATCAGCCGGAGGCACACGTTAGCTCATGTGATACCCACAGTCACCTTGGAAAGCTGGAGCCAAGAGCAAAGCACCTCGGGACTCAGAGCTCCCCAGGGTCACACACACGGCACCAGGCACTGTCTGGAGCCAGACGCCCTTCTCTTTAATGAAAGACCCAAGTGAAAATGGGGGGGGGGGGAAATCCCAAGTGTTTTCTCTAAAAGAAGCTGCAACTAAGACACAAGTTCTGACGGTCAAGGCATCAGCTCTGATACATTCAGGGAAAGTTTCCATTGGGTAAGCTGGCGTGCTAAGTCGCTTCAGTCCTGTCCAACTCTTTTCGGCCCTATGGACTGCAGCCCTCCAGGCTCCTCTGTCCATGGGACTCTCCCGGCAAGAATACTGGAGTGGGTTGCCATGCCCTCCTACAGGAGATCCTCCTGATCCAGGGATCAAACCAACATCGCTTATGTCTCCTGCATTGGCAAGTGGGTTCTTTACCTCTAGCGCCACCTGGGAAGCCCAAGCTGACTTCTACATAGAAATGAGAAGGGGATTCAATCACCCGTGGAGATTTTATGTGACAGGACAGAATTAAATCTGAAGTTCAGATGATAACGACTAAACAACAAGCTGGTTTTAGAAAAGGCAGGGGAACCAGAGATCAAATTGCCAACATCCACTGGATCATCGAAAAAGCAAGAGAGTTCCAAAAAAACATCTATTTCTGCTTTATTGACTATGCCAAAGCCTTCGACTGTGTGGATCACAATAAACTGTGGAAAATTCTTCAAGAGATGGGACTACCAGACCACCTGCCTCTTGAGAAATCTATATGCAGGTCAGGAAGCAACAGTTAGAACTGGACATGGAACAACAGACTGGTTCCAAATAGGAAAAGGAGTACATCAAAGCTATATATTGTCACCCTGCTTATTTAACTTATATGCAGAGTACATCATGAGAAACGCTGGGCTGGAGGAAAGCACAAGCTGGAATCAAGATTGCCGGGAGAAATATCAATAACCTCAGATGTGCAGATGACACCACACTTATGGCAGAAAGTGAAGAGGAACTAAAAAGCCTCTTGATGAAAGTGAAAGAGGAGAGTGAAAAAGTTGGCTTAAAGCTCAACATTCAGAAAACTAAGATCATGTCATCTGGTCCCATCACCTCATGAGAAATAGATGGGGAGACAGTGGAAACAGTGTCAGACTTTATTTTTTGGGCTCCAAAATCACTGCAGATAGTGACTGCAGTCATGAAATTAAAAGACGCTTAGGCCTTGGAAGGAAAGTTATGACCAACCTAGATAGCATATTAAAAAGCAGAGATATTACTTTGCCAACAAAGGTCTGTCTAGTCAAGGCTATGGTTTTTCCAGTGGTCATGTATGGATGTGAGAGTTGGACTGTGAAGAAAGCTGAGCACCGAAAAATTGATGCTTTTGAACTGTGGTGTTGGAGAAGACTCTTGAGAGTCCCTTGGATTGCAAGGAGATCCAACCAGTCCATCCTGAAGGAGATAAGTCCTGGGTGTTCATTGGAAGGACTGATGCTGAAGCTGAAACTCCAATACTTTGGCCACCTCATGTGAAGAGTTGACTCAATGGAAAAAACCCTGATGCTTGAAGGGATTGGGGGCAGGAGGAGAAGGGGACAACAGAGGATAAGAGATGGCTGGATGGCATCAGCGACTCGATGGGCATGAGTTTGAGTAAACTCCAGGAGTCTGTGATGGACAGAGAGGCCTGGCGTGCTGCAATTCATGGGGTCGTGAAGAGTTGGACATGACTGAGCGACAGAACTGAACTGAACTGAAACAACAATAACAATAGCAATCACAGCTGATGAAACCTTCAGGGTGGGTGGTGCTCTGAGCGCCCAATTCCTAGAGCTGGAGTTCCCTCTCCAGGGCGGACCTGGAGCCCTTGGGGACAGGTCTCATCACTGTCTAACTCTGGTCCAGGGCGGCCGGCTCGCTGGTCTACCACTTGAGTCAGGAAAAAAAGCACCATGTCTGTGCACCTGTGGACCCACCAGTGTCCATCTCGGGGCAGCGACCCTGGACAGCAGCGGCCCTGAAGCCACTCAACCAGCTCCAAAATGCATTTCTGCACAGCTCTCAACTTTCTTCTTAGACTCTTAACAGTCAGAGCAGCGGTGTGCTGAGTGTGAAATTACCCCTGCACACTCCAAAACGTGTATGAGCTGGAATGGCGGAAAATCACCCCGGTGACTCCCACACTTCACCAACTTCATTCACCTGCTCCCAGCGCCGCTGAGGGAGCCGTCGTGACAGCAGGACAGATGTCCCATGGGCGAAGGTCGACTAAGACAGACTCACTGAGCTTAACTGCCCTCACAAACCTTCCAGGGCAGTCAGACGCCAGGCCCTGTCCCGCTCAGAGTAACTGACATGCACTGACCACGAGCTCTCACAGCTTCATAACCTGCTTTTTTCCATGTTTAACCGGTCTTTAATGTTTCCTTACTACTATCACTGACTATGCTGTTTCATCAAAGCTAAAGAAATCTTTTCCATACTTTCACATCTTTGCTATCAGAACGTACCTTAAGGCCTGCTTTGTTTCAGGACTCGACAGTATTTTTCTTTTAGATTCTGGCATAGCTTACAATCAGTGACACTTTAGACTCACTGGAACATGGAAATGGAACTCGCACCATTTTTCTGTCGAGCCACACAGCCCTCAGTGTATGGAGTGCCAGAACTTTAACCACCCCCATATTCAACATCGTTCACTTAAACCACTCAATTTAAGTGCACTGTCACAGACAGGTAAGTTCAAGAATGAACACCAGGGATGTTTTTAATGCTAAGTTTGCATTAATCAGTCTTGACTATTACCAGCCCTTAGCTCCTTTAAAGTGTTTAGCTAGTAAATTATTATAGAAATAATGTCATAAACTAGGGAGTGAGTAAACCAAAGAAAGAAATTTTTCACACTCAGGCTGGTGTTTTTTTTTTCTCCACAATGCCCATTTTTCAAGGAACTCTCAAAGAGGTCACATCATGCTGCAGCCTCTGATTTTCAGTGGAGAATGACCTGGGCTGTGAATTCTGGTGGGCAGCCTGGTGGTGGTGTTCAGATTTCCAAATTCCATCCAGCTTTCTAAGTGACTACACTGCTCCAGAGGAAATGGCAACCCACTCACTCTAGTATTCTCGCCTGGAGAATCTCTTGGACAGAGGAGCCTGGCAGGCTACTGTCCATGGGGGTCACAAAGGGTCAGACACGACTGCAGCGAATTAGCATGCTCTCGAGATGAAACACTTATAAGAAAAGGGTGGGAAGCTATAGAAACTTCCAGATACCAATGCCACTGAGTTGACAAATCAGTGCAAAATCTGCTCTTCCTTCCTTAGAAACACAAAGGGAAAATCAGCCACACAGACCAAACTGCCCCTCCAGGTTTCTGTCTGCAGGAAAACAGGATTAGCCTCTCCCCAAAACTAGACAGCATATTAAAGTGCAGAGATATTACTCTGCCAACAAAGGTCCGTCTAGTCAAGGCTATGGTTTTTCCAATAGTCATGTACAGATGTGAGAGTTGGACTGTAAAGAAAGCTGAGCGCCGAAGAATTGACGCTTTTGAACTGTGGTGTTGGAGAAGACTCTTGAGAGTCTCCTGGACTGCAAGGGGATCCAACCAGTCCATCCTAAAGGAGATCAGTCCTGAGTGTTCATTGGAAGGACTGATGTTGAAGCTGAAACTCCAACACTTTGGCCAGCTGATGCGAAGAGCTGACTCATCTGAAAAGACCCTGATGCTGGGAAAGATTGAAGGCAGGAGGAGAAGGGGACGACAGAGGATGAGATGGCTGGATGGCATCACCGACTCAATGGACATGAGTTTGAGTAAACTCTGGGAGTTGGTGAGGGACAGGGAGGCCTGGCGTACTGTGGTCCATGGGGTCGCAGAGCCGGACACGACTGAGCGACTGAACTGAACTGAAAAACCTCAGTCACAGGAAACATTTTCAGGGTCCCCTCTCTCAGCTCTCTGCGCACACCTGTGGAGTCGGAACCTGGAGGAGGGAGAGGAGCACGCGGGCCCCGGTGTGCGCGCAGTACTCACCTGGGCCTCCGGGGGGCCGCCTTCATCTCGGATCAGCAGCAGATAGCTTTGTCCGTCGACGACAATCTCCTTCTTGAACCTGCCACCTGCCACACACACACAAAACACCGTGTCACCCAGGAAAGACAGAGCGTGGGGAGGGCGAACAGACGTGGGCTTCGCTTGTGGGAAAATACGCCTAGACTGCGGCCCTGGAGGCAGCGCCGAGTGTTTGAGGAGTAGCTTCAGATCTGTCTCCAGCAGCCACTGGGCTTTGGAAGGACTACTGCCACTCCAGATTCCAATAGCCATCTTTAAGAACCAGGATCGTCTGGGGGCAGAGCACGCAGGCTCCACGCAAGGCCAGGATCGCTGGTGGCTCAGGAGGGGGAGCGCTCCTGCGGGCTTTGTGTGTGGGTTCGGGATGTCTCTCTCGCCCTGGGAACCCGGCTGACTCAGAGTCCAGAAACGGAGAGCACCGAAATTCAGCATTCTCTCCTTGGGTTCGCGAGACCGAAACCAAATTTTCATGAGCTATGAACAGGGGGGGCGGCCTGGTCTCCACCACGTGGGCGAATCCCAGGGCTGAGAGTCTCTGTATTCTCCTCAAGGGAAACCCAGTTCTTGAAACGAACACACAGAACAGCATGGGGATGGCGTGTCCGGGTTCACAGGGCACAAGGGGACGGGCTGCTACCACACACGGTTAGACAGAAACTACGGACGACACCTGCGCGAGACAGAGGGGGCAGCTGGCGACAGACAGCGTTAGAGGCCACGCTGGGTTAGGAGCGGGGAGCCCCCGGGTCCCCTCGGAACGCCGGCGGGGACGGAGGACGGCCACGTGGACGGGGCAGGCGCTGACCCCTCCAGCACCTCCCCTTGGCGTCCGGGGTCGGACTGCCAGCCCTTCCCCTGGACAGCGGGAAATACACACACCGCTGGGCTCCTCTGCCACCCCAGAGCCAGACCACCTCTCCACCTTCTGCGCACTGCGCCTACCCCAGTCAGCCCTATCCCCGGGCTTGGGAATTCGCGGTCTCAAAGAGAGGAACGCGGTTCATTTCAGCTTCCCGGCCACAGGGGCCTTCCAGAAATACCAGCGAACTGAAAACTCCCAGTAACTGGACGCCTCCCGAGAACCACGCTGCCAGAACATCCCCTCCGGCCCCAGAGGCTGTGGGTTGGGTCCCTTGCTAACCAGAGTCACATCTGGTTCGGTGCCACAGTGACCCCTGGACCATACCGGCCTTCCCTCCCAGAGTTCCGGGGTTTGGGCCACCCCGAAGAAGGATCGGAGGCCTGCAGGTGGGCTGAGGCCCCGTGAGGCTGGGGTGGGGGGCTGGATGGGAGGTCACAGGGGTAAGTGAGCACGTACACAGGCCACGCCCACTCGGGCCCCCTGTAACGGGCAAGACGCGCTTGCTTACACAGCAAAGCTCAAACACCGAAGAAAGCCTTCCAGCATGAAGACGGATAAACCCTCACTTTGGTCCCCCTCACTTGGTACAGGAAAAAAAAGAAGGCGCACTCCGTGGAGAAGCGCTGGAAGGACACAGAGGTGATGGCGCTGTGATAATGCGTGCGCGCAGGACCAGAGGCCTGCGCGTGTGCTTCCGGCTGTGGGTACACCCACAGTGGGGTCCCTGCGCCCCCGCAGCTCTGCAAAGAGAAGGCACCATGACCCTGGCATCTTAGCACACGCGGAGGCCGGCCGCTGCCTGGTGAACACAGGTTCCACCTCCACGAGGCCGCCCAGCCGCCCCGGGCATGCTGGGCTCACGTGGCCAATTCCTCACCGATCTGTGTGGTCTCTAGGGCAGGAGGGGGAGTTCCCGCGGACCAGCACCCCTCCGCTGCCAGCCGCCACCGCCACTTCCCTGGGGAGCTAGCACCCGGCTCCCCAGGAGTGACGCCTGCTGTTGGCCCTGTCCCTCCCCTGGTCTCTGCGCCCTCTGTCTTACAGGGTAAGCACTCAATGGATTTCACATCTCCTGCTTCATTCACCTTCTTTGATATGTTTTTGTAGAGTTACCTTTACAAGTATGTATCCAGATGATTAGATCACAATATTAACATTAAGCAAGATTTGCTCGGAGTTCTTTCTGCTCCTCTGTAACCACAAGCAAAGGCCTCTGGATCTAATTTGCATCAGCTCTAAAGAGCGGGGCGATTGTCTTCTCCATCCCTAAGGACACTTCCCATTCTAAAAATCACTATATATTATTCCCCTCTAAAATATGTAGTTAGTATGTCTCTTCAATATTTTACAATTGCAAATATTAGACACTTGCAGTGGACTTGTGTGTGTTTTCTGGGGTTGTATGTACATCAGGAAACAAATGAAACACTCAAATGCATTTGCCATGAACCCAAAGGTTTGATAATTAGGTAAGAATCAGCCAGGTGTTTAAGCACCCAGATTGCGAGAAAGAATATGATTAATAAGGTTATATGTAAACAGTAAGCTCCTACTGCTGGTAGACTGTCAGGCTCAATGGGAACACAGATCACCGAGTACTGCAGAAACAAGCCCAGCAGGTAAATAAAAGAAGACTTTAAAAGCCATTTTCTATAGTTTACTTTAGAGACAGAAAGGGAAAAAGCCTTGGGATGAAGGCGTGGGTGGCAGCAAGCTGGTTTACATTCATCAGGGGCCACTGCCCTTGTTTTGTGAAATTCAAACCCACCATCTGATCCTAGCCATTGGATCTTTTCCTACTGTAATGTTAGAACACACCACCAAACTCTACGTCCAATTTCATGTTTAATGTAGATTTATATATGCCTGTTTTCTAATCTGATTTTCAATAAAGTCATCCCTCGGAATCCACAGGGGGCTGCTTCCAAAATTCCCTACATAAAAGGGTGAAGAATTTTCACATTACCTACGCACATCCTCTTGTATACTTTAAGTCATCTACAGATTACTTATAATATGTAATACAGTGTAAATACCATGTAAAGAGCTTTAAGTACAACATAAATGCTATGTAAATAGTTGCCAGCATGAGACAAATTTAAGTTTTGCTTTTTTGAAAACTTCCTGTAATTTTTTTTCCCCCCCACATGTTTCGGATCCATGGTTGACTGAATCTGTGGATACAGAACTATCTACACAGAGAAATGGCTATATCTCCCTGCGGGTCTGTTTGACCCAACTTTGCAACCATGGCTCCACCCTATAAACTTGTTACATGAACAACTGTCAGCCTCCTCTGACTGCCAAATACTATTACATAACCTTAAATCTCCCAAGGGATCATTTTATTTTTAGAAAGTGCGCCCAAACCTGACCCCCGTACTGGGAGCCACCGACATGCACTTGGCTCAGCCCACCTGTGCACAGGTGTGCAGGGCCCCCTGCACCGCTGTTTACCCACCGAGTCCCCGGGGAAGGCAGGGCTCTCTGTACCCATGATGACAACTCCATGAGAGGGAAAACAGAGAGCACTCCTGCACTTTGGTCGATTCCTTCCAAAGATGGCTTGTGATCAGCAGAGGCAGACAGCACCATGTTCACACAGGTACAGATGGGCGAGCAGAATCAAGTTCGGCTCTGCGCTTTGGTTTTCTTGAGTTTCGCTGAGCACCAAGATCGCTTGCATCTCTCGGGCACACAGAAAGGGGACGTTCTTCCTGCCTAAATTCAACCTCATGCCTGTGCTTGCTCAGCTGTGTCCAACTCTCTTGCAACCCCATGGACTGTAGCCTTCCAGGCACCTCTGTCCATGGGATACTGGGGGCAAGAATACTGGAGCGGGTTGACCATTTCCTCCTCCAGGGGAATTTTCCCAACCCAGGGATCTAACCTGCATCTCTTGCATTGGCAGGTGGGTAATTTACCATTGAGCCACCTGGGAAGCCCCACGTGCAATTTTTTAAATTTCAGGTTCATTCAGAGGTTAGTTCTCAATTTCCACCCAGAAAACTGCCCTGGGAGCCTCTGCTGCCCTTGAGCTTGAATTCTTAGGCGGGTCAAGGTAAAAGGTAGACCTGAATGTACCAAACAGAAGCAGGGATGCTGACATGGATGTGTTATGAAAAACCTACCGGAGAGAAAAGATAATTTTTTTTTTAAATATCTTAAAAAAAGACTTAAAGGAGTCTGTTACAATCCATTGTGCTGTGCTTAGCCAGTCAGTCCTGTCTGACTCTGTGACCTTTTGGACTCTTTGGAGTCCACAAGGCTCCTCTGTCCATGGGATTTTCCAGGCAAGAATTCTGGCATGTGTTGCCATCCCCATCTCCCGGGTATAATCCACTGGTGACCAATTACTTTCAAGATTTCAAGGTTACTCCTGCGTCCTGGTCTCATGCTGGGGGAACCAGTTTTGAATCTGGGATGCTGGTGCAGGTCAAAACAGCTGAGTTCCCTCTACTCTTTAAAGTTGAGCTAAGCAGGATGGATCTACAATGGAATCTTGTTAAATATAGGGGTGGTCTACATCGAGAGAGGTATAACCGTCTCACTTGGGTTGGCCTTTCTGCTTTAACAAGGGAAAAAAGAAAACCGCATTTTCCTATTACCAAGAAAAAAAAAAAAGTTTTGTTGGCAGTAAACACTCCCAACAGATGTTTGACATTTCTATTCTTTTGGCTAATTGGACTAAAAATTATTAACATATCATTAACAGGTCCCCAAGAAACAGCGAGCCTTATACTTTATAGTTTACAAAGCACTTCTCTTCCCACTTCATCTCATCCTCCTCACAGCATCTTATAGTGCAAATACCACCAGAACATCCACATCTAACTAGGTGGATGTTCAGACATTGACCAATCTGCCCCCCGCCCCCCCCAGACAGGAGGGGGAGAGACCCAAACCCATGCACACCACCTGGTTCTCACGTCTTCTCTGTGTGGACTTCTGCTGAGACAGTTCATGGCACACACTATCTGCAAAAGAGCCTGGAAGCCTTCATGTAACTCCCTACACCCACAGGGCAACACCAAGGATGTGGGTGGTGGGGTGTGTCTTTTCGTCGATCCACTCACCACCATGGAAGGGAGCTGTCTTCAGCTGCAAATGACAGTCAGCCCTGTGCCTGCTCGCTGAGTCATTTAGTGTCTGACTTTGCGACCCCATGGACTGGAGCCCACCAGG